CTAACTCTTCAATGACTTAATCCCTCGTGTAAAACAGCTTGACCCCTTTAGTACGACGTCCTATTGGTCTCATACTCACGGGATTAAACAAAGTCAAAAAACAAATTTGCAACAAGAAAAACCTCGGAAGATATTTACATTTGCAGTAAATATGACTTATCACTATACTTTATATCTACTGACTGTGCACATGCCTTAAGTGAATTGTTTCGTCAAGACACTCAGCTCAAGCTTTATGTCTGGTGTTGACTCAACGCCTCCACACTGAAGTTTGACGAGGACTTCCCTGGCAGATGGACTGGCCGTGATGGGTCCGTCTTCTGGCCTTACAGTCTCTCAGTATTACGCCATCAGACATCTTCTTGTGGGAGTATGTCAAGGATTATGCTTCCCAGACCCCAGTTGTTGACATTGAAACACTTGATGCAAGGATAGCCTCTGGCATCAGAAGAGTAACGAAGGTTATGTCAACCAACACGAGGACTGAACTAGAGTATCCGGTGGTTGTTGACCTGTACAACATAAGACTTGAGTTCTTATGCAACAGCACAAAAAGTACAGTATTTTAGTTCCTTCGGTTTTGATGAATAAACATTTTAAAAACCTGACACCGGAACAGAATTTTCTAAACAAACTTGTATATACACACACACAGAGCCAGTATAACCTTGTGACATGACTTTAATGTTGCAACTTGTATTTCATCCACTTTAAGAGATAGATTTATTTACATGTTTGCAGGTAGTGGTGAAGCTCTGGTGTCAAGGCCGCTTATTAATACTAACCTAATTCCCGACAACGCTCACTAATAATATTCTTTCGTGAATATTTATGTTTTGTCTTTGACTTGCATGAAGTACACAGATGCAATAACATACAAACATGTGCAAATATTTGTATACACACACATACATGAATATACAAATTGTGTGTGCGTGCATACTCATACACGCATGTATTACAGTGCGTACGTACATGTACACACACACACACACACACACACACACACACACACACACACACACACACACTCTCTCTCTCTCACACACACACACACACACACACTACAAGGGTGTTAATGGTGACAAAATAGGGTACGCTCGAGGACTAAGGTAAGTGCGTGACGGGGAGGTGAAAGAGGAGCTTTTGAGCAACCGTGGCTGTGAGTGAGGGTCCAGCGAGCTGTGAGGGTGGAGGAGCGGAGTGCCGTCCTCAGCACCGACACACAGGTATTTATCATTAGAGAGCTCACTACCTGGTCACCTCAGAGGGGGGAGAGGAGATTTAAAGCCATTGGTCTGTAATATATCATCATCATCATCATCATCATCATCATCATCATCATCATCATCATCATCATCATTATTATTATTACTCAAGTTAAGGTACATAGCCTCACCCGAGTTATTACTGAAACAAACTCCTGGACAAATCTTCAGACGAAATTTTAAGGTAAACTCCCGTACTGACTAATCGACTCATGATCTATTTAATTCACGTTAACCCCTGAGCTGGTGGTGTTAAATATACTCCTCGTTAACCCCTGAGCTGGTGGTGTTAAATATACTCCTCGTTAACCCCTGAGCTGGTGGTGTTAAATATACTCCTCGTTAACCCCAGTTGGTGGTAGGTGCTAATTATACCCCTGGTTATCCCCCTGAGCTGGTGGTGTTAAACATACTCCCCGTTAACCCCTGGCTGGTGTAGGTGCAACATACTCCCTGTTAACCCCCCTGAGTTGGTGTAGGCAACATAATTCTCGTTAACCCCTGAGCTGGTGGTGTTAAATATACTCCTCGTTAACCCCTGAGCCTGAGACATCAGATATATTCCAGGTTATTAATTCATTAAGGACTTTCCATATTCATACGCCCCAAAAGTTTAGAGTCTCAGCCGTTTATGTCGCGTAGGAAGGCGTAAACCTGTGTCGTGTTGCGTATTATTTTACCTGAGTAAGTAATTAATACCTGGACACCTTCATTACAGTAACGATTAATACAGTGACTTTAAAGACAAATACAGTGAATTACTTTCTTTATAAACTATTCGCCAATCGCTATTCCGTTTGATCAAATAAGAGAACGTCATTGGTTTGAGGACAAGCCAATCAATGGATGCAAAATATGGCTTTCACAGGAGTAAACGACATGAAAAAAATATAAAAGTTTAATTATTTTTTCGCTTTATATCGTGTTGGTATATTTTAAAATAGATTTAATTTTCCTAGTTGTAATAATTAAGTTGTCATCACCACCTCTGCTGCTACTCACGATGGTCTGTACTCAAGGAATGAATAACCGTACTCAGAGTTAGATAATCGTACTCACAGTAAGATAATCAGACTTACAGTAAGATAATGGTACTCAGAGTAATTTATTGTATTCAAGGTAAGTTACCTCACCATCTTAATAATCTTAATCATCGTACATCACTACTCCCTGACATCATTACTCTCTGACACCACTACCCCCTGACATCACTACCCCTGACATCACTACCCCCTGACATCACTACCCCTAACATCACTACCCCTGACATCACTACCCCCTGACATCACTACCCCTAACATCACTACCCCCTGACATCACTACCCCCTGACATCACTACCCCTGACATCACTCACTTCTGACATCACTAATTCCCCAACATCACTTCACCTAACATCACTACCTCTGACATCACTACCCTGACATCACTACTCCTAACATCACTACCTGACACCACTACCCCCTGACATCACTACTCCCCTGACCTTCCTGTAATTCTAAGCGCAGCTACAGCATCATCTCAAAGGTACAGTTGCAGCATTATGGAGAATTTTCCCTCATAGCATTTCTTACCCTAACTGACAGCATTTCTTCCCTAATAGCGGAAATAATCAGGGTGTTTCTCTCCCGCGATGCGCCTCTCACAAAAGAGTTACCGGTCTCGCAAGGTTTTTTGGGAAAGGAAAATACAAAATCTCTGTTTTGTTTTGCAACGAGAATGTCCCTAGAGGTTGGAGGGGAGGGAGGGAGGAGGGGAGGGAGGAGGAGGAGGGAGAGGAGGAGGAGGAGGGAGGGAGGGAGTGGCGGAGAGGGAGGAGGAGGAGGAGGAGGGAGGGGCACAGAGCAGAGAGATAGTGATAATGATGGAGAAAACAATAAAATGATGATTGAAGTAGAAAGGATAAATAAATGATAACACAGAGAAGAGGATAATATGTGGTCTTATGATTGTGTAGAGGAAAAGTTAACAGAGTTGAGGTAATGAATTAGTATGGAGTAAAACAGTTAAATGAATGATGGAACAACACACACACACACACACACACACACACACACACACACACACAACCCACACCACACCCCACATCCCACACACACACACACACACACACACACACACACACACACACTCCTACCCTCAATTATTCCTTTTCCATCTCACCCCACGATCTCCCTCCACCTTCCTTCCATCTCTCCCATCCTCCTTTCCTATCTCCTTCCCTCACTCTGGCGCCTCCATCACCACACCTCAACACGCACACCCTGGTAACAACACACATAAACACCTACTCAATTATATATACCCTAAAAAAATAACTAAACTTGCAAAGGAAAATGATAACAGGTTAGAAGAAACTATTATTGTGTGCCTCTGTTGTACCTGTTGATGTTTGCTGATTAATGGGAGACCAGGTAAGGGTAAGAACGTTCATAGAAGGTGTCGAGAAGAACGCCGGCTTGGTTGTGTATCTGGCGTTCGAGGGAGAATGTTGTTTATAGGAGGGGGGAAAAAGTAAGGGAAAAAATATAAAGTTTCCCGATGAGCGTCAGGGTGGAAATTTAATGAGTGAGATCGAGTGTTTATGATGTGTGAGAGAGAGAGAGAGAGAGAGAGAGAGAGAGAGAGAGAGAGGAGGAGAGAGAGAGAGAGAGGAGAGAGAGATGATGAGAGAGGAGGAGAGATCACCATCATCACCACAATCATCACCATCACCACCACCCACCTGTCACCACCATCACCATCATCATCACCACCACCACCACCATTACTCCACCACCATCACCACCACCATTACTCCACCACCATCATCACCATTACCACCTCCCACCACCATCACCACCACCACCACCACCACCACCACCACCTCCACCACCACGCACCCACCACCACCACCACCACCATCACCACCACCACCACCACCACCACCATCACCACCACCACCATCATCACTACACCACCACCACCACCATACCTTCCATTACCTCCACCACCATCACCACCACCACCACCACCACCACTACCTCCCCACCTCACCCTCATCATCACCACCACCACCACCACCACCACCATCACCACCACCACCACCACCACCACCACCATCATCACCACCACCACCACCACCACATCATCACCACCACCACCACCACCATCACCACCATAACCACCACCATTACCTCCACCACCATTACCTCCACCATCACCACCACCATCACCACCACCACCACCACCACCACCACCACCATCATCACCACCACCACCACCCTCACACAACATCAAACTTTTCTATACCCAATCATAAAGCCAACATATAGGACCACGCACCGACGGAGGCTGTGGCATGGTTGTGGTGCCCTCTGGGGAGCTACCCCGTGGTGGTGGTGGTAGTGGTGGTGAGGGAGGAGGAGGAGGACGTGAATGTAGCGTCACAACTGGGCTGGTAGTTACTCGCGGCGTCAGTAAGTCCCGGCCCGCGGTCTTGGACGGTCGCCCTGGACGTGGCTCCGTAGGTGGCGTCTGTCCACGGTGGTGGCGTGGTGGAGGGGGAGAGGGTGTGCCGCCTCACGCTCAGTGTATTACTGTGTACGTGTGGAGCGTGGTGGCGGTGGAGCTGGGAGGGTGAGGGGATAAGACATTCGTACGTGGTGTCTTGGTAACTGTTAGAGACACCTGCTGTGATGATGAGACCTGTGTTGATAAGAGATACACAAAATAATTATTAATGATGTATTTTTTTTGTTTTTATCAAGTTCACAAGTCTTGTTGCATTGCTAGTCTTGTGTGGTGAAGAACATGAAGCTTCAATGTCGTAAATGTGACCTTGTTGTTTGATAACAGTGATAATGTACATGAAGGTTTGGTGAAGACACTACGATCACGTCAGCCAGGAACCAAACAACGCACGATGGCTTCCATAAAACACATTGACAACACCGAGACACTTAATGGTGTAGCCGTAAATGTCTTCCCTTTCTGTAATTTAATTGTTTACCTCGTTAGTGAAGACGACAGCTTCAAAAGTGGACAACAGGGAAAAACGATGTTTTTTTTTTCTACGTGTGCACGGTAGAGACTGTCGTGAATAAGTAACATCCGACATAATTACCAGTTAATGAAGTGGTTGAATACGACCGTCACGAGACTGAGGGAGAGTGTGTAGTGTCCCAGCTGACACGTGAGGCTCCCTCAGGGCTCTTGAGCGACACTGCTGAAAGTATCCAAGTTGTCGAACCTGCTCACTGTTGACTCCTGCCCAACCTTACTTGTTTTGTATTGCCACTTTTATGATTTTATTCACTGCTTGACAAGTGGACTGGCAGTGACTCCGCTTAATATGCGGACTCTTATATTGTCACTGTGTTTGTGAACTCACTGCTCGACGAGTCACGTAGAAAGGCTCATTCATTTTAGTTGTGAAATACTACACTGCAGAAACACAAAGCCTGGCAGCCTGATGAACAGAACCAAAGTCTTATAAAGTGTAAACAAGAGGCAGGGCGTCACGATGACCACCACCCTGTGTGTTGACGTGTGCCCAGCTTCCCTAATGAAGGGTTTGTTGATGCCTGGTGGAGGACTACAGAGGACCAGCAATATACCAGCTGTCGGTGACCAGAGACCAGCTGAGATAAGTCGGGCTCTAGATCAGTCAGCTGGTTGCGGCACCTGCCATCATCGCCTGCAGGTGGACACTCGTCTTGATTACAGTATCACTCTAAACAATTGTCGACTCAATGCAATAACTAATTAACTCGTCAATTTTTATATTACGTTAAAACGTTTTAATTCAATACATTCGCGTCATAAATTAAGCGCTCTTAATATTTTTTATTTTTCTCTACTTTTTAAACGGGTTCTCATTTTGGGTTTGCATGACCGGTGATCCCCAAACATATTTCTTTTGTTTTGATGTTGATTACGGTGAAAATAAGTAGCGACCCTGAGCCTTCCTGACCTCGAGGTGACACAGCCGGCACTCTAAGCTGGGCTAAAATGGTGGAAATTGTTTAGGAAGATTGTGAGTGTTGTGGTGTCCCAGCTTGCGGTGTTCTCACAACCAACCTCTCTCTCTCTCTCTCTCTCTCTCTCTCTCCATCAGCCTTTACCTCATTTTTTCTCTCTCGCCAATTCCTCTTCTCTTTCTCCTTTCTTAAATATTTTTGTTTTATTCTCTTCTCCTTATTTCTCCCCTTCCTCCATTCTCGTTATTTCTGACTCTCACCTTTCCTATCCCACCTCCCTTTCGCCCTCCCCCATTCCTCTTCTTCCCCCACCAACTTCCAACTTTCCTCTTTTCCTAAATATTCCTTTTGTACTCAACCCTCCCTCCATTTCCTTTATTTCATTTCTCTCTCTTATTCCCTCCCACTCTCTCCTTCCGTCTCGCTCCCCCTATCTTCCCCTCTCTATTTCCTTATTTAATTTCGTCCCCCCTTTTCCTGGTAAAAAAATTAAGCCAGCCCCTCGATAAAAAAACAAAACATTTTTCCCAGTCCCGACATTGTGACACAGAGTTTCATAATTAAGTTAATTGTTCAGCAAAATTTGCATCTAATCAGAGTAAACAGTTTACAAAATAATACTGAACACTCACTTTAGGATTTACAGTACAAACAAATACAAGCATTTGTTTAAGGAACACCACTGTTAACCCTGTGTATCCTGGAACTAAAATAAGTAAATAAACACTATAAACATGTTAACTACACGTACTGTACTGTACTGTATCAACGCCGCCACAAGGAAGGAGAGAGAACTTCCTAAATAAACTATTTGTTACCTAACACAATTATTTAAATATTTTACTCTTGATAAATAACAGTTTCTCTTGAAAAATTACTTACAGTTTGGATAAATAATAAAGAAATATGATTCAGTAATGGTGATAAATTCTCACACACACACACACACACACACACACACACTCACTCACACACACACACACACACACACACACACACACACACACACACACATATATATATATATATATATATATATATATATATATATATATATATATATATATATATATATATATATATATATATATATATATATATATATGTGTGTGTGTGAGTGAATTTTAATTTATGAGTAACAGCCTTTCAGAATGTGCAGACACACGAGGTCGTCTCGGTAATAAGGTAAGTGAGAATAGTGACGCAACAACTTTGTTAAATTAATTATACGAATGAAGACACACCTGTAATGATAACACCTGTGGATAACTAGTGTAGGTGACGGTACACGGGGGGCGCCTCTCTCCAGTAGTACACACAGTCCCTAGTCTGACGTACAGTACAGGTTGAAAATTTTGAAAAATACACAACTTTTTCCTACTTGTGACTGTTTTCCTATACCGAGTTTTGTTTTCCCACAAGTGGATGGAGCAGCGAGTGACTGCCGTTCTTGCACACTGCCGCCAACATCTGGATTTTCCCGGACGGATTTTCCCGAGCGTTCGTCCCACGTCAGATAACAGCACTAGAGAGATGTTTTGACACATGAAATTACTTTCCAAACTCGACCAACCTCAGCTCTGAGGAAAGACGCAAGCAATTGTGCGTTCGTCTCTGTTGAAGTTAATCTTGAATCGCTTTGCTAATTTCTTAATTCCACGTCAGCCTTTGAATGAGTAAATCCTAGATCTTAGTGAGATATAAGGCAAACATCGCTGGAAGGTGTTCATTATGTGTGCTGGTGGCCGTCAGTGTCGCCCTGCGTAATGGTATTTTCATTCAGGTTGTAACTAAATGCAAATACTAATCCTATTATGTGTATCATATTATTTATCTAGAGTCCCACTTGATAACGTCGCCGAGGATCACTCATAGCCTCACCACACTCAACACTCACCACACTCAACACTCACCACAGTCATTCCTCACCACAGTCATTCCTCACCACAGTCATTCCTCACCACACCCATCCCTCACCACACTCATCACTCACCACAGTCATCCCTCACCACACCCATCCCTCACCACACTCAACACTCACCACAGTCATCCCTCACCACACCCATCCCTCACCACACTCAACACTCACCACAGTCATTCCTCACCACAGTCATCCCTCACCACAGTCATTCCTCACCACACTCATCCCGCATCACACTCATCACTCACCACACTTATACAGAACAAGGATATACACGTTTTCTATAGTAAACAATAATACGTCACCTGTAGTAAACAATAATACGTCACCTGTAGTAAACAATAATACGTCACCTGTAGTAAACAACGAATAGACAAGAATGTTAGCAGCAGCATCGGACGCCAGTGTTATGCTGTGTGTCTGAGGATATTTTATGTCCAAATCCTATTCCGGAATGTTGAACATCAATTGCCCAGTTTTAATATTTGAAATGGTAATAACAAATCCTGCCCCCCCCCTACACCCCCTCTCTCAGTTTGTTCCCCCTCTACCTCACCCCCCCCTAGCCAGTGTTCCCCTCTCCCCAGCTAGTATTCCCACCTCCCCAACCCCCCCAGCTAGTGTTCCCTCCCCCTACATCTCCTCCCACAACCTCGCTCCCCAACTCGTGGTTCTCTCTCCCTCCCGCAACAACAAACAATAACAACAACAAAACCTTTGAATGTGTATAATTTTAAATCACCTCATCAACTATTCTCCCTGTACTGTTATACGCGCGTGCGAGTGTGTGTGTGTGTGTGTGTGGACCTATCACCTTTACCTGCTTGGGTCACATGCGTATGTTAATAGAGTTTGAGACGTGGACTGTAGTAGCTAACATAGGACAAAGGTATCACCGCGTATACTGCTGGGTCTGCCATTGCTCCCAAACACTACACTGTACCGCCATGTCTCGTGATGTAGTTTTAAAGATCGGATGATACGTGTCCTGGTAAGGCGTATATGTATCCTGGTGTATATGTGTCCTGGTGAAGCGTATATGTATCCTGGTAAACCGTATCTCCATTCACTCTTTTTCTTTCCCTGTCATGATAATCTGAAAAGCGTTTCATAAGAGTTCATTCAAGCTTTATTGGAGGTTTAGTGCCAGCTTAGAATAGTTTTAAGTTGTGTATATGAATTGAACTCCGATAACATGATGGTGACTGGCCTTCAGAATCTGTTGTAGTGCTACTTAAAGGATTTTCACCTCAAGGGATATTTATTAATAACTTATCGTTGTGATATAAATCGTCGGGAAACTGATGTCAACACACTCAAACACACTCACTCAATAAACTCAAAACACACACTCAACACACTCAAAGCATAATACGTATTCTCGCATCATCATTATCCGGTTACTAATACACACTTTCCCTGATTATATCTCTCTATTAAGTCTCATTAGTTTTCAAGTGCATCTTCCTTTTGTACCACTTGAGTGCATGGTGTACCTATGTCTTTACTTACAATTTTCTACGAGTTTTTAATTCTTGAGTGTATGTACAAGTGTGTTTTAGTAAGGTCACCTGTAGCATTTGTTGATTACACCTGTCCTCTGAGTGCGTCTAATTGATTAAGGCACTCTTGTACATCTGTTGAGTGTAACGGTAGAGTACATTTTCATTAATTACATCCTGTGAGTGCTTCTATATACTTGAGTGCATGTGTTAAGTGTGTCTGTGCAATAGGCTGATCTTACGCTTCTACCCTATACCATCGTTAGATATGAAACTTCCATATAATGAACTATATAGAGTTGAAAGTCGTTATATCGAGGGTATGTTAGATGTGAACCCCCCTCATCTAACGTATTTTATGAGAAGTTCGTCCGCTATATGGAGGTTTCACTGTGCACTACTTTATCTGTCCGCTATATGACACCTGCCTCGTCTGTGTACACCTGCCTCGGTCTGTGTACACCTGCCTCGGTCTGTGTACACCTGCCTCGTCTGTGTACACCTGCCTCGGTCTGTGTACACCTGCCTCGTCTGTGTACACCTGCCTCGGTCTGTGTACACCTGCCTCGTCTGTGTACACCTGCCTCGTCTGTGTACACCTGCCTCGTCTGTGTACACCTGCCTCAGTCCTGTGTACACCTGCCTCGTCTGTGTACACACACCGTCTGTGTACACACCTGCCTCGTCTGTGTGTACACCTATTTAGCTCGTTGTGCGTGTATCTGTTTAATCGTCTCGTAACTGTGTATACCTGTTGAATGTTTACCGTTAATGCACCTGTTAGAGCATGTGTCATAATGGTACAACTGTTTACATGAGGTTGTTTGCGCATGAGGAAAATTGACAGTGCGTTGTTTATGTATTTATCTGTTGAATGCGATAAATTTGGAGTTTTATTTTCACAGCTTGAGTGCATCAATTTAATTTGTTGAGTGCATGAGACTATCTTTGGCCTGGCATGTGTTAGAGAAAAGCCAGAGAGATACACTTGTGTTTCCCAAGGTGGGATTTACCTGTATGTTAGAGGTATACAGGTGGGATTTACCTGTATGTTAGAGGTATACAGGTGGGATTTACCTGTATGTTAGAGGTATACAGGTGGGATTTACCTGCATGTTAGGGGTATACAGGTGGGATTTACCTGTATGTTAGAGGTATACAGGTGGAATTTACCTGTATGTTAGGGGTATACAGGTGGAATTTACCTGTATTCAAGGATATTCATGAAGGATTTACCTGTATGTTAGGGGTATACAGGTGGAATTTACCTGTATGTTAGGGAGGCGGGATTTACCTGCTT